GGGGTGCATTTTTTATGTAAAAAGTTGAAAGAAAAAAATATTTCCACAAGAATACTAATTATCTAGATTGGATTCTACCATCCAAACATTCTCTACTCATTAACTCTTCAAAATACCTTAAACAATACTGAAATTACATTGGATAAGCTGTAAAGAAGTAATGATGGACTTGTGGAATCATGCTCCCTGTACAAATGTCAAGTCTAGGCTTGGTAGAAGAATTAAGGGGACACAATAGGGCTGGAAGTCAATGGCCTTAATGGGGAGGGAGTTGGGCATAGGGTTGGCTGTGTATAAAGGTATCATGGTCATCTAACTCCATCACCTGGTACCCAGCATTGATGTGAACACATGTTGATGGAGGGTGAGGAGTTGCATCTTACATCATATATCAGGCAAAAGTGAAAAAAGACTAAGGAGTTCTCCACTTTCTGCTATGTGTGAGTGCCCAGATCATGTGATTATTTTCTTGGTGCTCACTTTGTAAAATACTGCTTTGTAAACTATTGCTTACATAAGTGGGAGATACAGTTTATATAAAAGTGCTACTTGTTCAAATTAAGTGGGAACCTGTGTGTAAAGGGTTGGTGTGTCCTATGAAACCCCTCTGTCTGTATTATATGATGTGAGTGACGTCAGTCACTCACAGAAGCCCCATTGCTGAGGTATGTCAGTGTCATGGCCCATGCCTTTTGAAGAGGCAGCTGGGTCTAGGAACTGAGAGCACAGTCTTTGAATATTGACAGATACAGTTTCAAATCTTACTTTAGCAATATAGTAGACCTGTGGTCTTGGCAACTTAAGAGTTTCTGGCTGTCTCTTTCCTCAGCTACATAATGGAGATATGTGATTTTTACCCATGTAGGTTGTATGGCATGATGCCTGGCACATAGAAAGTGCTCAAAAAATGGTAATCATCACCACCATTGTTGCCATTATTATCTTTCCTATTGCTTACTTCCTTCTACCTTAAGTTTGATATGAGAAATTGCTTTTATTATTTTTAATTTAAAAAAATTTTTAATTTTTGATACAGCCACAACTCTGTCACCCAGGCAGGAGTGCTGTGGTGTGATCTTGGCTCACTGTAATGTCTGCCTCCCAGGTTCAAGAGATTCTCCTGCCTCAGCCAGCAGCTGGAATTACAAGTGCCTGCCACCATGCCTGGCTAATTTTTGTATTGTTTAGTAGAGATAGGGTTTCATCAATGTTGGCTAGGCTGGTCTCAAACTCCTGACCTCAAGTGAGCCACCCACCTTGTCCTCCTAAAGTGCGGAGATTACAGGTGTGAGCCACCATGCCAGAAATTGCCTTTAAAACTCAGTTTTACAAAATGCTTTATCCCACCCACCTTTAGAACTGGTCCTCAGAATTATGTAAGTGGCCTGTTCTCCCATTTTCCTTAGCACCTAAGAAATTAAGTTAAATTGGAAATTGGGACCATTAGGCTGATCTACATGGCTCACTCATTATCCTGTATTATTGTTCCATGACTTCTACTTTATATTTTCCTGAGTAAAAATTTACTACTTATAGATCATCATTTTTATGTTATATAAAATTTGAATTGTCCTTTTCTATGCTGTTTCCTGTTACCAATGACCCAAATCATTTAGGGTCTCTTACACTAAAAGATACAACAAAACAAGTTCAAGTTCAACAGCAACACCATATGAGGGAAGTGAAAAGCTATTCCTGTAGTGTTTACTCATGTATCAGAAGGGTCTAGTCTCCCTTTTCTTCCAAAGACTTCCTTGGTAATCTAGTTGGCAAAAAGAGGGCTGCTGTATATTGACCTCTTATAGGTACCACATGGCTTGTTCCTCAGCTCCTCCTAATTCTTAACTGGCTTGTTTTGCTCCAACTTTGATTCTGCTCACTCTCCTGCCATTCACTTCCCAGAACTTTAAGACCATCTATGCCTTTACAACCATACTGATCTTGGAGAAAGGAACAATGTAAGAAACACCACCCTCTCCTTTTGACCTGGACCAAAGCATGGTCTTATCATGTCAATTCCCAACAAAAAGTTGACACAAGGATGTAAGAAAGTTAAGAGACTGTTTGCACAAATAGAGTTGCATAAGGCAGAGGAACATTTTGTGAGCCACCTATTTCAACAACTTACTTTTTCATTTATCAATGTAAAAGTCGATAAATAAGGACAACCTAAGATTCAAGAAAAAAAAAAAAGATTCCCAATAAAGAAGACAGAAATGAACAAACAAAATAGTTGACTCAGAAGAAACAAAGTAATTTAGGAAACAGAAACCAACTTTTAAAATACTCTAAGACGTCAGATCAGTAAAACATGAACAAGCTGTCTAAAAGACGAACAATCAGAAAATAAAGTGATTTTTTGAAACTTAAAATTGTCAGTGTAAAATACAGAAGATCAGTCTGGAATTCCACTACTCAGGGAATAGAAAGGACTTATAGAAGGAGCAAATAAAGAAAGCAAAGAGGAAGAGATGATGATGATGATGATGATAATAGTGATGAAAACGATGTTAATAACAGTAGCAGTAGTAATAGTAGTAGTAATAGAAGATGATGCTAATAACAGTAGCAGTAGTAATATTAGTAGTAATAGAAGATGATGCTAATAACAGTAGCAGTAGTAATAGTAGTAGTAATAGAAGATGATGCTAATAACAGTAGCAGTAGTAATAGTAGTAGTAGTAGAAGATGATGCTAATAACAGTAGCAGTAGTAATAGTAGTAGTAGAAGATGATGCTAATAACAGTAGCAGTAGTAATAGTAGTAGTAGTAGAAGATGATGCTAATAACAGTAGCAGTAGTAATAGTAGTAGTAGTAGAAGATGATGCTAATAACAGTAGCAGTAGTAATAGTAGTAGTAATAGAAGATGATGCTAATAACAGTAGCAGTAGTAATAGTAGTAGTAGTAGAAGATGATGCTAATAACAGTAGCAGTAGTAATAGTAGTAGTAGTAGAAGATGATGCTAATAACAGTAGCAGTAGTAATAGTAGTAGTAGTAGAAGATGATGCTAATAACAGTAGCAGTAGTAATAGTAGTAGTAGTAGAAGATGATGCTAATAACAGTAGCAGTAGTAATAGTAGTAGTAATAGAAGATGATGCTAATAACAGTAGCAGTAGTAATAGTAGTAGTAGTAGAAGATGATGCTAATAACAGTAGCAGTAGTAATAGTAGTAGTAGTAGAAGATGATGCTAATAACAGTAGCAGTAGTAATAGTAGTAGTAATAGAAGATGATGCTAATAACAGTAGCAGTAGTAATAGTAGTAGTAATAGAAGATGATGCTAATAACAGTAGCAGTAGTAATAGTAGTAGTAGTAGAAGATGATGCTAATAACAGTAGCAGTAGTAATAGTAGTAGTAATAGAAGATGATGCTAATAACAGTAGCAGTAGTAATAGTAGTAGTAATAGAAGATGATGCTAATAACAGTAGCAGTAGTAATAGTAGTAGTAATAGAAGATGATGTTAATAACAGTAGCAGTAGTAATAGTAGTAGTAATAGAAGATGATGCTAATAACAGTAGCAGTAGTAATAGTAGTAGTAATAGAAGATGATGCTAATAACAGTAGCAGTAGTAATAGTAGTAGTAATAGAAGATGATGTTAATAACAGTATCAGTAGTAATATTAGTAGTAATAGCAGAAGATGATGTTAATAATAATAGTAGTAGTAGTAATAGTAATTTCAGTGGTAGCAATAATAATGTATCAATAATATTTTCCTGAATTGAAGAAGAATATATGTTTTCAGACTGAATGTTCTCAGCACTGAATAGGGTACATGAAAAAATGTCCATTAATACATACATACTATTAAAATTTTAAAGCTTCAATAATGAGAAAAATGTGGAATCATCTATAAAGACTTAACACATTACCTATAAAGGAACACAATTTTGATTGACATAAGACTATCTACCTGGACCATTTGTGGCTAGAATAAAATAGAACAACACTTTTTAAATTCAATGGGAAACTTATTTTAGATCTAGAATTATTACAACACTAAACACTTCATTTTCCTCTTGCTTATATGGTTTCTTATGAGAAGCTATTAATTTCTGCCCTTGTTTGTCTATAGTTACCATGTTTTTGTATTTGGTTTCTTTCAAGATTTTCCCTTTGTCTTTTGGTTTTCTGCAGTTTGAATATGATACATCTATCTGTATCATATTCAAATGATACATTTTTGGGGTATTTATCTTGATTTATGTCCTCTGAGTTTCCCAGAAATGTGGTTTGATATCTGTTATTAATTTTAGAAAGTGAGCAGCAATTATTTCTTCAAATATACCTTCTGCTCTTTTTTTCTTTTCTTCTGCTATTCAAGTTACATGTATATTATACTTTTTGAAAATTTCATATAGTTCTTGGATGTTCTGTTCCTTCTTCTTTTTTCTTTTTTTCTCTCTGCATTTTAATTTGGGAACTTTCTGTTGACCTTTTATTAAGCTTACTGGTTCTTTTCTTGACTGTGTACAGTCTACTGATAAGTACATAAAGGATATTATCCACTTATGATGTGTAGTGAGTTAAACAGTGTTCCTTCAATAATATATGTCCAAGTTTTAACTCCCCAGGACCTATTTGAAAATACAGTTGCTCCTCCATATTTATGTTTCTGCACTGGTGGATTCAACCAACTGTGGATCAAAAATATGTGGAATAAAACAATTTCACAAAGCTCCTGAAAACAAAACTTGAATTTTCTACACACTGAGTAATACATCGAATCCACATGAACGAAGTGATATGTAGGCATTGTATTAGGTATCACAAATAATCTAGAGATAATTTAAAATATGCTGGAGGATATGCATGGTTATATACAAATATTATGACATTTTATAGAAGAGACTTGAGCATCTATGGATTTTAGTATCCATGGGAGTCCTGGTACCAATTCCCTATGGATAACCAGGAACAACTGTGGCAGATGTCTTTGCAGGTGTAATTAAATCTTGAGATAAATGCAGTGATTTGTACTTTTAGAAGAAGAAGAGAAAATACAGAGCAACACAGAGGAGACCACCATATGAAGACGGAGGTAAAGACTTGAGAGACACATCTAAAGCTACGGATTATTGGCAACTACTAGATGGAGGTAGGTAAGAAAGAGATTCTCAGAATTTCCAGAAAAACAAAAACCTAAAAATAACTTGATTTCAGACTTCTGGCCTCTGGATTGTGAAAGAATAAATTCTGTTCTTTAATGCCACAAAATTTTTGATAATTTATTATGGTAGCCCTAGCAAATGTTTTGACTTCTAGTATTTAAAAAAATTCTTCCTTACCATTTCTATCTCTTTGCTTACATTACTCATTTCTTCTTGCAAGTTGTCTATTTTTTCCCATTAGAGCTCTTAATATATTAATGGCAGTGATTTAAAAATACATGTTTGATAATTCCAACACCCATGTCATGTCTGAATCTGGTTCTAATGTTTGCTTTGTCTCTTCAAACTGTGTTTCCTCTTGCCTTTTGGACTTGTAATTTTTTGTTGAAAGCTCCACATGTTGGATATAGGAAATAAGGTACATAGGCCTTTCATGGGAAATTTTATGCTAATTTGGCGATGAGTTGGATTGTGTTTAATGTTTGCTGTAGCTGCAGGTGCCAGACTTCGAATGCCTTTAGTGACCTTGTTTTGTCTCCTCAGCTGGCTTTGGGCATACCTAAGTACTCCTCAGGAGGAGTCTGCATCTTGCTGCTCTTTCAGCTGTAATCCATTCTTTGTACAGAAGCCCTTTTGGTCTGTTGGCACAATTTGGGGAGGGGAAGCATTCTGTAATCTTATGATTAAATCTCTTTAGTAGAACTGTGTCTCAGGGCTGTGACCTTCACAGGTGTCTCTTAGTTTTTCTAACCTCCCTGACTTAGGTGAGATAAAATAGCTAGAGGGGACTGGAGTGGGGAAAAAATGCCCTTCCTCCAAGTGGAATAACACTCTGGTAAAATCCTCTGGCCTTAGTTATGAAGAAAGCTGACAATGGTTCCTTTTCCCTTCTCCCCACCAGAGTAACTAGAGGATCTTTCTTGGTGTTTCACCATGAAAACTGGTCGAACTCCAGAATGTAAAACTTATGTAAAAACATGGCCCTTAGGAGGCTCTCATTCTCCTGCTAGTATATTCAGCATTGAGCGACACGTCAAAATTACCATTTAAGTCTTCCTACCTGTTTATGTCTCCAGTGACTTGTCTTCCAAGCAAACAGATCTCTGCTGGGACTTGGTTTATTCATCTCTTCAGGTTTCAAGGTGATAATTTGCCCTGAGATCTCAGTTCTCTGGTGGGTCTAAGACAAGTCATTGATTTCAGTTTTTTCAGCCTTTTCATATTGTAAAGATGGGAGTGACAATTTCCAAGTTCTTTACACGTTAAAGCTGAAACTAGAGGTCATTCTACCTCAAATTCTTTTTTATTCTCATGACAAACCATGTTTCTAGGGAGGGCAAAGTAGAAACCTTTTCTTGGACATGAAATGACTCAGATATTTTACCTTCAAGAGTTACTGTCTGAAAATAATATATATACTCCATAATAATTAAAAAAGAATTTCAGACTTTCATTTCTCAGAATATGGAGTGACATGCCTTTTTTCCTTTTTCCTCCACTAAGTACAACAAAAAACCTTGGACATTATATATCAAACAAACTTAAGAAGATTCTGGAAGTGGGAGAAAAGTAGACTAGCTAAGGAGCTCAAGAAGTTTTTTTACTTGGAAGTGAAGAAGTTGGAAACCCAGTAACATATACAGAACAGACAAAATAGGCCCTGACCAAAGCCTGCTCTGTCTAGTCAAAGGACTGTAAAGGCAACCAAATGTGATGGGAAACTCTTAGACAATAACTGCTCTACCTGAGCCAAACATCACAGGAATAAACACTGAGGCCCCACCTCCACCCATGCCAGCAAAGAGCCTCATTGGGGGCGGGGGTGGGGGGGCCAGATTTTCACCTTTGTCGAGCTGTAATGAGGTAACACAATACTCCACCAGGATGGTGTCAGAGAAGAGCAAGTAGGGAGCAGAACTTTCACCACCATTCTGTGGTAATGAGACTTCATTTGTTCCCCCCACCCTACCGATGTGTTAAGGAAGCCATGTGGTGAAACAGCAATAAGGCACTCCTGTTCTTCCTGAATGGGACAATACCCCTGGAAACCTAGTGGGGAGATGGAGTTCCCACTCAGCCCAGCAGTAATGAGGAGCACCCTTTCTAGGGTGTCACTGGCAGCCACGTAGGAAATCTGGACTTTACCCCGACTTAGCAGTAATAAAATTTGGTGCTCCCCAGTCCCATGCCAGGGTGATGGTGGAAGAAGCCAACTAAAATGGAATGTTTAAATAAGAACCAGAGTCTTATAATACTATAACCAAAATATCCAGATTTTAAGTGAAAAACATCTACACCAAGAACCAAGGCATTCTCAAACTGAATGAAAAAAGACCATCAATAGATGCCAACAAAATGACACAGATATTGGACTTACCTAAGATTTGAAAGGGGCCACTATAAAAGTGCTTCAGTGAGCATTAGCAAACATGCTTAAAGCAAATGAAAAGACAAAAAGTCTCAGCAAGAAATAGAACGTCTAAAGAAGAGTCAAATGAATATTTCAGAAGTAAAATAGATAATAAGCAAAATAAAAAGTTCAGTGGGCAGACTCAGTGGCAGAATAGAAGGGACAGGAAAAAGTGAATGAAAATATCTCTATCTCCTTTATAAAATGCATAATTTCTATTGTTAAGTTAGGTTGATAGAAATGACCTTGTCTGAAAAACAGAGAAAATGACTAAAAATAAAAATAAATAAAACTTTAGGGACCTGTGAGACTCTAACAAAAGATCTAATTTTTGTGTCAATGGATATCTAAAAGGAGAAAAAAGAGAGCAGGGCAGGGCTGAAAAAGTATTTAGAGAAACATGGTTGAAATTTTTCCAAATTTGGCAGAAGATATAAATCTACAGCTTCATACAGCTTAGCAAATTCAAATAGAATAAACTTAGTGAGATTCACATAAGGAAGAATTAGCATCGCTACTGCACAATCTCTTCCAGGAAATACAAGAAGAGTTCACACTTCTCGATTTATTTTATGAAGTTATTTTTCTTTTTTTATATTTTTTTGTCTGATTTTCATTTTAGTAAAATCAGACAAAAAAATATAAAAAAAGAAAACTGAAGACCAATATTTATAATAAATATATATGCAGAAATTCTTAACAAATTATTAGCTAATAAATTCAGCAATACATATAAAAATGACCACATAGGATATATTCCAGGGATGCAAGGATGACTCAATATTTAAAAGTCAATCAACATCATTGATCATTATTAGCAAGCTAATGAAGAAAAAAAATCACGATCATATCAATTGATACAGAAAAAGCACTTGATAAAATTCAACACATCTTCATGATAAAACTTTCAGAAAAGGCCGGGCATGGTGGCTTATGCCTATAATCCAAGCACTTTAGGAGGCCATGGCAGGTGGATCACGAGGTCAGCAAATCAAGACATCCTGGCCAACATGGTGAAATCACATCTCTACTAAAAGTCCAAAAATTAGCTCGGTATGGTGGTGTGCACCTGTAATCTCAGCTACCTGGGAGGCTGAGGCAGGATAATCACTTGAACCCAGGAGTCGGAGGTTGCAGTGAGATGATTGTGCCACTGCACTCCAGTCTGGCAACAGAGCGTGACTCCCTCTCAAAACGACAACAACAACAACAACAACAACAACAAAAAACCTCTCAGAAAACATAAATAGAAGGGAACTTAACCTGATAAATACCATCTACACAAAACCTACAGCCAATATTATAAATAATGACACAAGACTGATACATAGATACCATGAAACACTATTCAACAACAAAAATGATCCAATCAAACTGTGGATATATACTTAGCAAAGTATGCTGACTGTAAAAAAATCAAATTCCAAAGGTTACGTACTGTATGACTCCATTTGTATAACATGCTTAAAATGACCAAATTATAGAAATGGAGAACAGCTTCCTAGCTGCCACAGGTTAAGGTGGGAGAGAAGAGTGTGGTCATAAAAGGGCAACATGAAGGATTTTTGTGATGATGGGAGATGTGGTGAACCTTAACTGTGTTAATATCAGCATGCTGGTTTTGATATTGCATTCTAGTTTTGTAATATGTTACCATTGGGTTAAACTTGGTACAGGGTACCTGGGATCTCTCTGTATTATTTCTTACAACTGCATATAAATCTATAATTATCTTAACATCAAACATTTAATGAAAAAATCCAAGAAAATCGCAGACATGGATATAAGAAAAAGTGAACACAACCCAGGAATACAATAAAAAGAAATCCCAGGATGAAAATGATGCAGTAAGTATGGAAACCAGTTAGTCCACAATAAAACGTGGAGTAGAAAGACCCCTGGGAAATATGTCCAGGAAGAAAATGATATCCTTCAACTAACAGAGAGATGAAGACACTGAGTGATCTTAGTAATACAGTGAAAGTATATGGTTTAATTATTATGTATTTATATTGGAAATATGCTGCTGCTCTATTTCTACTCCTCCAAGGTTTTGATAATTACTTTCTCCTTTGAGCAGAACAGGTTTAGTGATTTAGTATTTCCGTGTTTTCTCTGCTGGTCCAATTATATACTTCACGGCCTGCAGTGAATAGTATATACATAATCATGTGCTGTTAATGCTAGCTATTGACTTTCAGTTTAGAATCACCTTATAAGCAAAGCATGAAGCCTTAGTATGGTTTTAACATTAATATGAATGTTATAAACCTTGACATTGAACATTATAAAGTTAATGACATGTTGGAATGAGGGGCAGATGGGAGGCAGGAGCTAGAAGGCTATGAGGAGATATTAAGGCAAATGTAGAGGCACTAATTTCCTCATCCTAACATATTGTCTAAAGTTAATGGGTTAAAACATTGTGTAAAGTCAATGGCTTCAGGACTAAGAATTCATAATTTAGACATGTGAATGCAACTTACAGAATTCGAAAAAAGTGGCTGGCAGAAATATAAAAGAGTATGAGAGGTGGTACAAATGAATTGAATTCCTCATTTTTCAAAGCATGCAGTT